GTAACCGTTATCCGCGCCCCGCGCCTGTCTCTATTGCTCTCTCACCTCTGCACAAGCATTAGCCCAGGATCAAAAAGGCGTGATATTATAAATGAATTTTAATTTTGGTGGTAAACATGTTTTCTCAAGAGCCTTAGTGCTTAGTGACCTTTGACCTTGATTAACCCTAAAATAAAATTGTACACAAGTTTCCCGCATATTAATTAATTTACTCCGAGGTGAAACGGTAATATGACATAAACATATCATGACAAGGCTTATAGCCTTTCAAGTTATTGTCCAAATTTTCATTTAAACTATGAATTGCCATGATGGATTCTTCAAATGTTCGCACGAAGGTGAAAAAAGTTCGTTATCTAAAGGCGTCATAATAATTTAGTCAAGATTGTCGATCTACTAGATAAAGAAAATGTTTTAAAAACTATAATTAAATCTACACATAGTAAAAACCACAGTCTCTTCCCGCTGTCATTATGCTGTGATTTTTTAAACTGCACAATGGGTTTTGTCCGGTTTTCATCAATATACAGGGTGATCCAAGACAAACATTTAAATGTATAACGCAAGCCGCTGGCAGAAAGCTAGTTTATGGCTAAATATACTAATGGCCCATCCTCCTTAACCATCCATAAGGAAGGCCTGAGCCTGTTCCGCATGTACTTACGTCGAACCGGTTCAAAAAATAAACCGGTTTCCAAGCCCTGGTTTTGTGGTGTGGATACCTAAATATTAAGTTGCAGACCACTGCAGTTATTGGGTGAAAGCAAAACTAGTAGTTTAACTTGCGAAACAATTGGTGCAACCGCATTTCATTTAATTCCAATCAAAACCGGCTAAGTACAAATCAGTCTCACGCACAAAGGGTTCCCTACCATTATCTGTGAAAACATTAAATAATATCGCGTTTCTCATGCCTATGGGAGCCACCCTTATACAGGTACTTATTTTATTTTGTTAAATAATAATTGTTATTATAGCGGCAATAGAAATAAATCTGAAAATTTCAAATGTCTAGCTGTCTAGTTAGAGATATACAGACCGTTGCACAAGCATTAATTAAAATTGACATTAGTTTAAAGCGACATTACCCATACAAATTTGACATTCATTAATGTTTAAAGGTGTCATTAAACCTTAATGGAAGTTAAACCAATTGACAGATATCCTAGTGACATACTGACTATAACTACATTAGCTTCAATTTTTTTCACACTGATTTCAGTTGAAAAATGTATAAAAGTGTATTAAATTAACTGTGTAGATTTATTAAAAATAAAGTAATGCGTGATATATAAAGATTGCACAATTTCACATTAAAATAAAACCAAATTGCCACATAAACATAAAATTTTCATTAGTTTACACAATATTACTTTTACTAATTTCACATTCATTAGAGTTTAAAGGCATTATTAAACCCTAATGGCTATTTGTGCAACTGACTATAACACAAAAATAATATGTGTCTACACAAACAAACAGGAAATCTATAAAATAGACTCAGATAAAATTTACAAAAGTTAATTGTTTCTATTGACTTTTAATAATAATTAGGAGTCACATTCATGTCAAGATAAGTAAATATCTTCAAATAACATTTGGCTCAGAGTAAATTCATTAATGAATGAATTGTATTTATGTGGGTATATCAAAACCAAATTAAAATTAATTAACAACCCTATTCTATACATAAAATAAAATTAGAGTGTATGTTTGTAATATTAAATTAACAACTTTTTACTACACGTATACACAGTACCTATACAAGATTTTTTTTTTACAATTTTTGTCTGTCTGTTCTGGCTAATATCTGAAATGGCTGGACTGATTTTAGCGGTAGATTTCATGGCAAATAGCCTGTGTAATTTGGAGTAACTTAAGCTGCTTTCCATTTGTCTGATAAGTTATTATAGCCAAATAGCTGGACTAATTGTAATATGATTTATTATAGAAATAGTTTCGAGGCAAGATGTAACAAAATGATTTGATAGTGCTACCCACAAAACTATTTGAAATAACATTTAGCATATTATATTAATAGTATCGTTCTCGAGATTAGTATTTATTTGATTAGATTATATTACTAGTAGTATCGCATATGTGTCACTACTCCGGCACTATAGTTGAGATTTCTTTGCATTTGCTTTTTTTTTTTTTTTTTTATTACGAGGGTAGTTCTCATCTTCTTAGTCGATACCGTTCCCTGCCATCTTCATTCGCTTTATAGTGCCCGACTGCTCCGGTCGTATTCCCAATAATGTGTATAACAGATCGTTAAAATGCCGAAACGTACGAAAGTTAGAACATGTGAAGAAGAGTTAAAACATCCTCAAAAGAAAATGCGTAAATTAGAACAAAAATTATGTGATAAGGAAAGTTCAGTTAGTGACTTGTGCCCGAATTTATGGGTACGGAATGCAATCAGAAAAGTCATTGGGGCTTATTCAACGCATTCAGTAAATCAGTTAGCGTTCAATCCATTGGGGATCTACCTAACTTTGACAAGATAACTATCGTTATCTAAAACTGCTATTGTATATATCGTACCTATCAGACTATAACGTATTTACGTTAAAACAAAAAGTATGCACCTGAACTGCCGTTGGGGTTGATTCGTCGCATACTTTTATGGATGACTATGATCGTCATAGTCATAATATGAATGAAAATCTCAAACGATTTTCTTATCTTTCTGCCACCCCACCTATGGTGCCGAGTGATTGGTTATTAGAACAACCTCATTATGACGATGATCCACAATCCATTATTGGTATCAGTGACATTCAAAACTTATACTATACACTGAGGATGACTGTGTCGACGCGACGACCGTTAACGAACCACCTGTCGAGTCAGAGTTACGGCCCCAAGAAGGGGTCCATAACGAAAATGATCTGGACACCGATATCCTTTAAATTCTCGGCAAAGATCCTTCGCACTTAGAGAAGCTCGGTAATGATATCCGACATAACTCGCTTGTCGACTAACTCATATTACCATAGAGGGGCTTAATAAGGATATCCGTAAGGAGCTGATAGCGAAGTACCCAATTGCTGCTAATTGCTCTCTTATTAGTGCTCCAAAACTTAACCCTGAAATCAAGGCTGGCATACTTGAAAATACTCTTAAGAGGGACAAAGGCATAGAGGGTAAACAAACGCAAATGGCCAGTGCTATTGCTTATCTTGGAGAAATAATTATTGCTCATCTTAACTCTAAGGAAAAGGATAAAGAATAACTGCTTTAGATAATGGACCGCAGTCGTTTACTGTGCGATATTCAACATAGCGATTCAGTTACTAGAAGAAACTTTATAATGTTTTCATTAAAAAAGATCGATTCATTTTTATTCGGCGGAACATTGACTGAAACTCTTATGACAGTAAAATCAATAAACAAGTCTGGAATCGAATTAAAGGCTGACCCTTCTACAAAAAATATAAGTAAACGGCAAAAAATATCTAATCAGAATCAGTTAAACCGGAAAGCTCCCGGGGCGGCGTACAGGTAACCAGGCCCATCGCAGAGGAGTCGCGAGCCTGCATTCCCGCGCAGATTACCTCCCCAAGGCAGTGGCCGCGTCCGCAACCGCTACCGCCGCCACCACCGCCGCCCGCCACCGTCTCAAACACAGGGACGACGTCGCTACTGAATACATTCCCGAAGGATTCACGAATCGATTACCCTGGTGGCAGCAACCTTACCAGGAACGCGTTATCAAGAAGGAGCTTACCAACTTCCTCCTTGGATATAATGTTAGTATCATTATCCTTAATTCACTCAGTCAATATGACGTATACTTAAAAAAAAAAAAAAAATGGTGGACCTTTTGCAATAATAATTCCATTAACTTATTTACAGCTTCCCTACCGTTATTTACTTCCTTACTGTGTTGTTTAACGATGGTGGTCAATTCGGTACATTGAATTCATGCAGATCTGCCTTATCTTTTTTATTAGGATCACACATAGGTAAAGATGACAGAGTTCAGAGATTCTTAAGGGTGTGTTTCGTCTTCAACCACCCCTTCCAAAGTATAACTTTACAGGGGATACGAATTGCATTTTAGATCAGATAAGCCAATGGTTCCCAAATGAGGACCTAACGTTAGAGCAATTGACTAAAAAGACATTAACCTTACTGGCATTAACTACAGCACATAGAATGCAAACGTTGTCAAAAATCGAAATCAAAAACATACACATATCTCAGTCAGGTTGTTATTAAAATACCACAAATTATTAATACTTCAAAACCAGGTCGTGAGCAACCAATACTTTATCTACCATTTTTCAACAGTTGGCCAAATGTGTGTCCAGCAAAAACACTACTATGTTATATTAATGAGACAAACTCCCTTAAGAAAATCTGATGCTCTGTTTATAGGTACTAAAAAGCCGTCAGTGCGATTCGTAATACTGCGGGCTGGAGGGGCAACTCTACCATGTTCGCACGATTTTACAACAGGCCTATTCATAATCATGGTTGTACATCATTAGCCCAATCAATTATTGACCATTAAGTAAATAAATCAGTGTATCAAAATTTCGTAATTACTACCTATACTATAATTTAGAATGGAAATAAATGTCAAAAGGAATTGTTCAGTTTGTATGGGCACTTTGGCTTTGAGTGGACATTATCTACAGTTATAAAAAACATTATTTTTCAATATTTCATATTTTAAGGTTAGAAATAAGAAGCTGAGATGGTTAAATAAAAAAAATTGTAGATTTACACATATTTACCTTTAATTTGACAATACAATTCTACAAGCAAAAGACAGTACTTCTAAATACACTTATTTATAAGAATAGACTTTACATGATCACTTAATAAATAAGTTACACTGCTCATACAGTTTGTCTTCAGCTGGAGGCTGGCATTCGGGTGGTCAAAAAAGCAGCTACATTTATATAAGTTGGTCACATGATGTCCTTATCGTTAAATCTTCCATGGCCTCTCATGACGTGTGCTTGCAGTCAAACACAACTATTCTCCTAATTTGTGCTCACCCTCGAGAATAACTCTTCGCCTTGGAGTGGCTGTAGACTCACATTTACATCTGCGTCTATTAACAGAAAGAACTGTTTTAAAACACCTATCCAGTACATTTGTACATTACTATTAAAAAATTAATTAACATTAAATGTTGAACTACAGGTACAGTATTCCCACGCCTTCGCACATGTAAATAGTAGCCTATATCATCCTGATGAAAGATGTAGCTTCCCTTAAGTAAAAGGATTTTTTTAACATCAGTCTTGTAGTTTCGAAGTTTGTTAACAAGCTCAACTAACAATCAAATTTTTCTAGTTTATAATATAAGTAAGGATAAGAGGCTCAAAGCTCACAAACTAGTTTCACTATTTTTACAATAATAAGGCAAAAATAATAAACAATTTTACCTGATACCATGTGGGAATGGTCAGTCGCTGTGGTGAGTCGCAACCAGGAACAAAACAATATACTTGTGAATCAGGTGCTCTTTTATAATCCGGTAATGATCTATAAAGGTTCCGAAATATTATATCTGCTTGCTGCTAACATAGATGACAGACGCGATATTGATCTGCCATACACCTAAAGAGTATAACATAATATTAAATTATTTGTCAACAAAATGTTACTTAAACGATATGGCAGCGATATATTAATGTTTTACTTGTCATAAAGGAAGCTTAATTATGGTAAAATAATCAAAATAAATAAAAATAACTATAATCCTACCTGTCGTGGGGATATCCAATTAATAATTATATTACTAATGTGTTTCTTTGACGGATATTTTTTGCAGATGTGATCTAGTACGTAATATAGATCTTTCACAATTTATACAAAGCTGCCGACGATGTCCTCTACTTGTGCTTGGTTTGGTGTCCATAGGTATAGCCGGGTCATCATTTCGAGAGGTTAATAAATAAATTGGTCGAAAGTAACAACAAAATCAAAACGTAAGAATTATCATTATCACTCAAATGTCTTTGTTGACAAAAGTGAAATGGTGCTGCCCTATAAAAATTATTAATCGATTAAAAAGTAATCAATGGTTTGTGTAAATTAATTTATATATCTAACCGAAAAGGATTATTTCTTATGTTTTTAATATATATGATACATGATATTGCAAAAGATTACCTAATGTATATGTATTAATATATAAATACTTTAATTACTTTTATTTTTATTAAAGTTAAAACTTATCAATTAATCGATACTATTAGTAATAGTACTTCAATAACATTTATTGATATGGAAACACAGTGAAATATGTTAACAAAACACATCCGAATCCAAAAAATACTTTTTTATGTGATATTTTTAATGTTTAGTTTCCCATGACGAGAGTATTAAAAATAATTTTTCTTTCAGTTTTAATAATAATGTACTGTTAACATATTTTTTACTTATTAGCTTGTCCACCAAAAGCCAAAATTGAACAATTTTCTTTATGTTCTTTTTTTGTTAATAATTAATGAATACTTATATATATAAAAAGCAAGTTATCGTCATTTATTGATGATATTTCCTAAATCTATTTTTCAACACTCTCAAAGTCTACTAGTAATATAATCTAATCAAATAAATACTAATCTCGAGAACGAGGCGCGAAGTATAATTAATGATTAAACGAACTTACCAAGTGAAGTTCTATCATAATTATACGAAGCGCCTCGTTCGAAGAGATTAGTAAACCCGCCCAACCCTGTGAACATTATTCCCAATACTAAGCTCTCCGGAAATACATCAATAAACCAGATCTATCTCTAAACTTAATGAAGATGGCAGGGAACGGTATCGACTAAGAAGATGAGAACTACCCTCGTAATAAAAAAAAAAAGCAAATGCAAAGAAATCTCAACTATAGTGCCGGAGTAGTGACACATATGCGATACTACTAGTAATATAATCTAATCAAATAAATACTAATCTCTTCGAACGAGGCGCTTCGTATAATTATGATAGAACTTCACTTGATAAGTTCATTATTTTTGCTAATTTGTTTGCATATGTATCTTATACAAATATGTAATAGTGACACTACCCACTTTTATTAATTAAAAGATATCTAAAGTTGGCTACTTATAAACTTCATGAATCTTTTATTAAGGACACCCCCCTAGCTTGCATAGATATATATTGAAGTAAAAGAATCAATTGTTTATATGGAGACTTTAATAATTCTATTACCCTACCTGGATAAAAAAAATATTATACCCAGCTTTGATGTACTCATAGCAACTTTTAGAAAGGAAATTGTGTCTTTCTCTCCATCTGAAAGTATCTTTGCCAGGTCGAAGGATTCTTTACATTAATTAAAAATATTATAGATATTTCTGCTTCACCCAAATAGGCAATACATTTTTTATAAATATTGAACCAAGCTTTAGTTGTTATGAATTAAAAAAAAACTTAATAAGTACAAGTGATGATTTTACACAGCCTGAGTTTAATACCTTGTTTTATTTATTATATTTGCTCATTTTTGCATGTGCTTACAAATCTACTTTCTCCCTTGCACTCTGAGATAGGACTCGAACCCATGACGTTTCGCAATCCGGGTACCACTAAGCTACCCAGGACTGTAAAATTTTTCAAGTGTTTGTTACTTTTTCGCTACTACAGAACGTATTTTCATCAATGTTTTAAATTGATAATGTTTGTTTCCATGGCGAATTCTGTGTTTTTTAATTAAGTAATATTGGATTTTAAGATACCTTTTATTCAGTGAAATGTAAAGCTGGGATAAATAACCTATACTTATATTGCGAAGAAGTTAGGCTTCTAACTTTATTTGTTATATCTGTCTATTTATCTTGAGCCGAGAAATCTCACCGAGCCTTGGCAAAAAGAAATATAAAGGAATAAGAAGGCGAGATCCATTTCACATTCACGAGTCTTGAGTGTTCTTGGTGTTTCTCAGTGTGAGTCTGTCTAGTCTATTAGAAATACTGATCCGAAAATACTTTCCCCTGCGGAAAGCTACATCATACTGTTTGTAAGTGGCACATATAGCCGGGCATGGGCAAAGCCTTGGGCAAGTGGTCTATTTTGCTTAATGAAAAATTCTTAAAAAAACCACCAATCCCAGGTACTCTGAAATGGAACTCAAACAACTGTTCTTTGTTTTATTTTGGGAAAGTCAACATGGACTTACTTACCAATCCTTTACACAACTTAAGTTAACATCCTTTACAAAGAATTGTCAAAAACATTTAGCAGCTAATCAGACAGAAATCACAAATTTTTCAAAATTAAAAGAGATTTGCAATGTTTCAAAATTCTTGTGCAATTGTCTGATATTTACAGAAAAGCAACATTTAACAGAAAAATAAACAGTATGTTCCATTAATAGTATTTATTATTTTCAATATTTATGTATAAAAGTCAAATTAAAAGTGGCTTTTCTCTATTAAGAACCGACTAAATTTATGAAGGTTATATGGAAAAATTCATAATCATCTTTGCATTCAAACAACTTGATTTGAACAAAAAACACTAAATATCTTTCTTAAATATGTTTCCTCATTGTTCATGTAAAGATGATGTGTGCAATTTGATCACACAAAAACAGTAAGTCATGCTTGATCAACCAAACCCACCAGACGATTTCCTTTCATTGTTAAAAATTATTTTACATGGCCATCCATAACATACATTGACAAGTAAACCAAAATTTTCACATTTAAATTTACATAAATTCTTAAGATAAATGCATTACAAACTTAACAGAACACGGTAATAACCATAAACACTAATAAATGTAAAATGGATATCATCTGACAGCTATTTGTTTACATCAATAAATAGATCACTAACCTGCCAAGGATTGACCTTTGGTATCGGGGCCTCCACAAACTTCTTCGGCTGAGTCTCCTCAGCTGCCGCTTGCTGTTCCTGCGTGTGCTGAGGCTCATTGTGGGGCTGCGGTGCCTTGTGCGGCCGCGGGGGAGCCCTCCGTTCACGCTCCCTCCTGCCCTTGCCCGGGCGGCGCCCGTGAGATATCACCGGCACAAAACCCTCTTCTTCCTCATCGTCCTGGCGCGGCGCTACGTCTGTCACCTCCTCCGGCGCCGCCTCTATGTTCTCCTTGTTGCTATCGTTATTGTCACTCCCTCTAAAGTTCAGCACCGACGCATACGAGGGACCTGCGCCCTCAGCCGACACGCGAGCGGCCATGCCGTCGCTGTCGCTACCTTCGTTATGTAAGACCGGGCGCGCGCTCCGCGCCGACTCAGGATCACGAGCGCGCGGCCATGGCCCTCAACACGACGGCATGCTGCCGAGCTAACCAACGAATCGAAAAGTCACACAACCGAACGCGACCCAACCGGACAGTATGAAGGTCGAACGCGATGAAAACTATACGCACGTTATGAGAGCACGACGTAACACACGACGGCCGAAAAATATGCGCGGTCTTCTTCGGGGCACACCGGACTGACCCTGGATGAAACGTATTTACATCGAAAAAATTCACTTCCCGTCGTATTATTTCGACTTTTCTGGAACACACAACGATCCGTATACACTATATCTATCGATGGCCGATAGAAAACACTTCCTATTGGGCTTGACAATGAAGAAAATCACCATAGAACTGTATTTTGTTCACCATTCTCACATGTGGTCGGACGCCCAAAAAGGGATTTTTCCGCAACACACACGGAACTTGCGGAAGGCTGTGACTTCTAATTTTGTACAGCAGACATTTTAGCGATAGATGGCGCTTTATCCAGTGACAGCAACGGCGTTCAAGCATTTGTACATATTTTTAACGCTATTATAATTCACTCATTCATTTTTTTTGTTGGAAATTATCCTAACTATACAATTTATACGAGTTTATATCACAATACTAAAAATAAGATGATGTGGCACTCATGTTCAGTAATGAGATATATATCTCTAAAATAATTTAGCGTGAACGCTCCCACAAACAAAATCACACATTCATACAAATGTCAAAATTAGCCCATAGACTATATGCCATAGATGTTATAATCTACAATCACAATCATAGATAAGCTTACACTGCTGTCTATGCATAATATGATAGCAAACCTCTGATTATATAGTTCACTTATCAAAGTAGCAAACAGGAGGAATCGAACTGTAGACAGCAGAAATAGCGACACCTTGAAACCGGACGTACGAGACATTCGGCCATGGAGGTCTTAAATAACTTTTAAATTCTTTAATGGGTTTTATTCGATTAACATACTGCCTATTATTATACATACGCTTTACATACACATAATAAAGGGAAACTGATGACTAAGCGCGGCTCCTCTTTCTTTTTAAAAGCGTTACATTTCCACTATACAGTCACCGATATACCTTCTCTATTATAACACCTGTGCCAAAGACGGGATGAGTCGTGGATTCGATTTCGTCATTTATAACAAAGTGACAATATTTTATAACGAAAAAAGCTTATTAACAGAACTTTGAGTATAGCACAAGACAATCATCAGCTTCATAACTAATCATTTACATTTAAACTAAGATTTGAAATAATGTTATTACAGGCCGGGATCTGCGATTACTTTTATCGTAGCCTAAAATGAGTACACATTTCAGAAGACATTTTTATGAAGCTCTTTCTTTTTTAGTGTATATTATGATTTTGGCACCCACTCATACTAACGCCCTAAATTACAAAGAGTGTGCCCCTTGCATGCTGTCCTTTACTATGCGTGCATGAGTACAGAACAGAGAATTATGAGTTGCGTTGGGTTGCGTTCTTCTTCCTTTAACAAAAACTATTCTTCCTTTGCGTCTTACATTTCCACTTGCAGTTAAATATATTTATTTTAATTAAAAAAAAACATTGTTATACCAAATCTGTTAAAAAAAATATATTGAAAATCTTTATATTTATCTTTAATTAAAATTCTTTTTTGGGATCATATGTATGTTTGAACATTACGACGTTTCAATCGACATTTGTTTCATTATTAGTACATAACGACTACATTTTTTTTCAAGGATTTTTTTCCACTGCCTCATTAGGCGAACGCCAGACATATATACAATGTTTGAGTGATCATTTACTTGCAACTTCTAAGGACAACCGAAATAAATTTTTCATAGAGCTTTATGGGCAATAGGTCATCGCGTGACTTTCATGGTCACTAACGCTTACAGGATACGAAATAACAGTTTATCGATACAAGGTCAACTTTCTAAATGAAGTTCAGTGGAGATAGCTAACATTGATATTAAAAATTGCGAACCATAGAAAATACGAATTAGTGATTTTGACACATTGGAATTGCTCACTTTAATATACCTGCTTTAACAGCAGATTCTTCTGCTTCTGCTTATGTCTTGGTTTTGAACCTTCAAAATATTATAAGCTTCTAGCTCTACGCTTATTTTAAATCACAGCTTATTTTAAGCACAGAGATTTTGTTTCACTTGAAGCCATAAAATTACCCTGCAATTATTAAAGAAAAGTCTACCTGCCTAATCATAGAAAAAGACAATAAAATATGTAGTAAAAAATCGTTTGATCAAGATCAGATAGATATAATTAAACAAATAAAACATGCAAACAAATTACTAGTAATATATAAAACTTCGGTTCTTTCTACCTAACTCAAAGAATGCGTGCGGCGGTAATCGTTACACAAGTATTGAATGATCTAGTGATTCCTTATTTTTTCTTAATTCTGGATCACGGAATCAGACTTTTGCCTGCCTCCCTTATAAATCTTCTTTGGTAAGTTTTCTTTATATATTCATCTATTGCATTAATAATCTCATCATGAGGTTTAAGTTTTTCTTTAAAATGTGTTTTCCGGATTAGTTGGACGATACATACCCAAAAACCTTCTGCAATTCCTGCAGTAATGATAAACCTCTTTGCATGATCTCAGAATGTAAGGTAATGGTGCACAAACCCAACAACAAAGAATACATAAAATTACTGCACAAAGGTGAGTGCACAAAGTGATCTTGCTTGTCACAATCGTCATACCAGCGTACCCACAATCCGGGCATACGACAGGCATAGATGCAAATCCAAAGTTGTAAGCTCTTGAAGGTTGTCGAATTGGATTTTCAACGTAGATATCGAAAGCAGCAGCGTAATTCGGAGGCGGTGTGTGTTGTATAAAAGAAGGAGAAGGTATAAAAGTACCAACTATTCTGGGCCTTCTTCTTAGTGCCATTTGTCTTAAAACAAACGAGTATGAAGGTGGAGCACTTGCAAGAGAATCAGGTGTAGCCAGTTCAGTATTTCCGATAATGATTTTCCTGCCAGTGCTGTCCGTTAACTGCTGGATATTGAAATGGCTCGCAACTCCTCTGCTAAGTGAAGTCTGATTTAATTTGGCAAGCGCTTGGAGAAATAAAGACTGAGGTTGTCCTGGAGTAAACGAGGCAGGAGACGCTAAATTGGTTGGCATGGCTGTTTCAGGAGAAATGTTAGTAGATTCTATTAAAAGAGATTGAGGATTGCTTACGACAATAAGAGGTGCAGGTGACATAATTAAATCCTCTTCGTTGTTGTTAGAGCAGGCAGAAGATAAATTAAAAGATTTCGGACAGTTAATATTTGATGATCTAACTACATTTAAATCTATTGTTTTCGTGCACATTTCATTAGCTATAGTCGACTCTGATGGACCGTGTGTGTCTTCTGTTCGAACATTATCAGATTCATCAACATTATGACTACAATGAGCCGTGTTTACGGGAGCGGTGTTTTGTTCCATCAATACTGTTATATATTTAATTTTATAAAATAACTGTTGTTATGTAATGAAATATTGATAAGTATCTATATTGTCATTTTTCTTTTAACCTTGAATGTTGAAACTTGTAACATTATTTTTTTCACTTTCACTATCTTGTCTCAATATTGTTGAAGAATAAAGCTGCAGCACATTAAATGATATGAATAGACTGTACGACGAATGTATGTTAATGAAATTGTTGTCTTTCTTAATCCTACCTTTTAAATAATGTCTTCTTTACTTTTGACATATACCGATATTTCAGTTTAGAAAGAATAAATTAAAAAAATAAACTGAATAGAAAGAAGAATAATATATTCCCTTTGCAATTGAAAAAAAATATATAAAGCCACTATGCATGAAATCTTCAATTTCATACAACAACATTAGACAAAAGATTTTTTATTATTTTGCGAAACCAAATTTAAATATTATTTTTACTATACAAAAACATTAATTTGATTTTAATAATTCCTATCATAAGAAAAATATAGTATTTGTTATAAACTTCAAGTAAAAAATCTCTATCACGTCCAGCGAAAAAATGTGAAAATATTTTTTTGACCTTGCAACTGCCCACTACCGCTGTCAGATTTCCAAACTTCATTTCCGTTCTTTTCACACCTCCGTGGCATGGCGGATGGTCTTTACCACCGCATATAGTGTTTTTCTGGAGGATATTATCGCTGATATAGCGAAATGGTGAGTTTGTAGTCCTATAAACATATTGAACCTCTGTTAATCGTATAGTGCGACTGAAACAATCCCAGTGAAAGTGTTTATTTCGTTTGAAACTTTTTAATGTGATCTCCACGTGTTTGAGTTATTATTTGGTAAAAATACCTGCCGATGCTAAGTATACTTTTATTTTATAGTTATCAATGTCAATTTCTGAGTAAATAGATCACATAATAGATGGATTTTATCAATAAAAACTAACCGGTAGGACCTTGCATTTTTAACCCGTTCTACAATCCTTGGTTATAAATTTTATTAAAAAATGGTTATTCGCAAATGGTTTCATCATTAAAATATCAATCTATACTCCAAATGTCATATTCAGTCTTTGATCGCTTGTTATTAGTTATATTTTAAGCTTTATTGTGAACACCCCATAAATTTTTAGGTTATGTTAATTTTTAGTTGTCGCGTTGATCTAGCGCGTTGTTATGACACCCCGAACTCTTCCAGATTGCGCCTACTTGGCTTCTCTGGTACATTTAGGGGTAGATTAAGCTTTCCCTTAGGAAACAAAGCTATATTTTGAGTATTGCTTTGTGTCGACGTGTGGAAAACATTTCGGCAAATGTTAAGTTACCATAATTACATAGAAAGTATCACTGTATTTGTAAGTTACAGCAGTGAGTCAGATTTAATATTTAAAATTGTTCCCGTCTTGATATTATACTTTATTTTCAATGTGCTGTTTTGCATAACCTGATGTGCTGTTGAGTATACATTGATAAAAGCATCATTTTTGAACTGAACATTAAAATTGCATCTGTGAATGTTAATAAAAGTAACGAAAGCATTAAAAGATATGATAAAACACAAAAAAAAATATTGCAGAGTTTGTCGGTAGCCCGACCACTTGTGTCGGTGTACACTGAGAAGAGCGAGGTTGTAGCTGGAGCCTCGCTGCCTTTACCATTTGTATTCAAGGCGCCCATCAGGCCTGACCTCGTCAACGATGTTCATGTATCAATGTCTAAGAACTCTCGTCAGCCATACTGCGTCAGCAAGGAAGCTGGTAAGATAAACACATATTAACGTTAATAAGATTTAATGATTTACCATATTTAGTTTGGCATAAAGAAAAGTTGGTTTGGAGAAATCTGAAGGCTTAGAAATTTCCATAAAATTAAGTTCAGGCAGTAAACTTGAAATTAAAAAGGAATTTTAAGGTTTTTCTTGAAATGTTTTGACTTTAAATCTTCATATATTAATATCCAATAATGCACTGAATGTCCACATGCTGCGGTTTATAAATACTGTTGTGTGTTACTGCGATGCTAGTGCTAGAATAAAGTAGCGACATGGCGTTCCATACATGCTCTTTAGTTTGGATGGGTGCAAGTTCTCTGCGACAAATCTATACTAATGTTACAATGAGTAATTATTTGCTATACTCATATTTGTTTGTCCATCCCTGTTAAAGATTCAAATTGGATTTGATTGAAGGGAGTCCTGAGCCCTAGCAGTGAGGATGTTAATAAGTTGGTGGTGGTGAATGATCAGTTGTACCTGCCCCCTCTTTGTTATGCAAGATGCATATCTGTATTTAGTGATCATGTCTTAAAATAAACACTATTTATGCAGGTCATCAGACCAGTGCTGAGTCGTGGGGTACCGGTCGTGCCGTAGCCCGTATACCTCGTGTCAGGGGAGGCGGTACTCACAGGTGACGTGTTTATCAATAAAATAATATTGGTCAGTTTCACCTGATCTCTTGACTTCAATTTACAAAAGAAATACATATATCTTTTATATAATGGATAGTGACTTTATAGTCTAACAAAGGATGAAATAAAATAGAGGAAAAAGTAGCCCTTGCTGAGATTTTTCCTGCACAACGTCTCCCTACGTAAAGATTTGCGATGGCGTAGCTTTTGACATTCACAAGTGTGTTACCTCAACTGAATAAAAATTTTCAAAACCGTATTGATTTGGGATGCCAATCGCCTATGGGTCTTAATCTACTGTGACCTTTCGGGGTATTATTTTGAATTAGAGAATCCTATGATATCCAATAATGCACTGAATGTCCACATGCAATGGTTTATAAATACCGTTGTGTGTCACTGCGATGCTAGTGCTAGAATAAAGTAGCGACATGGCGTTCCATACATGCTCTTTAGTTTGGATGGGTGCAAGTTCTCTACGACAAATAAATACCTATGTTGCAAAGAGTAATTTGCTACTAATATTTATTTGTCCGTCTGTTGGGTTAAACATGTATTCTTTAATTTTTTACGTAATCAATAAATAATGGTTGAAATGTATGACGTCACAACTTTGTACATTTTTTATCATAGTTGTGACATTCAAGCCCCACTCATAAGGTTTAGGATGCCAATTATCACACATACATTTAGTTTTTGTAGGTTTTACAATAGACACTAAAACAACCTCCATAGTAGAGTGGTTCGTACTCCAGTATCAAGATGTTGCCATCTCTGAGGTCCCAGGTCAGAGTAGAAAAAAAGAGATATCTCTATCGTCTCGGGTCTGTGTGTTGTGTTACTTTCGTTTTCTAATATACTCTATAATACGGGGTCTTCAGCTACTCGTCTTGGAATTTGAGCAATTAACTATTATCTTTGCATTCGGCAACATGTGCCACGGCGGGCGTATGATCAATATTGTAAAGAGTAATTTGCTACTAATTATATACTAATATTCGTTTGTCCGTATGTCGAGTTAAACATGTACGTTTTATTGTTATTACTACTATACATATATACATATCCGTAGCAAAGTGGTTTGTACGCCGGTTTCAAAATGTTGCCATCTCCGAGGTTGTATAATGAGACCTCTCCATTGTCTCAAGTCTGTGTTGTCTCATATACTCTATAATACGAGAGCTCCAGCTGCAAACTTGGCTTGGAATTTGAGCGAACAACTAAATAAATGGACGCGCAGGTCACGTAGCCATCTCTGAGGTCGAAAAAAGAGACCTCTCTATTGTGTTGGGTCCGTGTGTTGTCTCATATACTCCATATACCTTGGAATTGGAGCGAATAACTAGGTAAACGCCCTCGCATGTAACATGAGAGAAGAGTAAAGAGTAATAAGAGAAAAGATTAATTAGATACTAATATTTGTTTGTCCATATGTCGAGTTAAACATGTACTTTTTATTTTTATTACTATACATATATTAATACGACTTCCGTAGCAGAGTGGTTTGTACGCCGGTTTCAAGATGTTGCCATTTCTGAGACCTCTATTGTGTCGGGTCCGCGTGTTGTCTCATATAGTCCATGAATGCCACGCGCAGGTCCGGGCAGGGCGCGTTCGGCAACATGTGCCGCGGCGGGCGCATGTTCGCGCCCACGAAGCCGTGGCGGCGCTGGCACCGCCGCGTCAACCTGCGCCAGCGCCGCGCCGCCGTCGCCGCCGCGCTCGCCGCCGCCGGCGTGCCCGCGCTAGTGCAGGCCAGAGGTATAAAAAAAGTGAAAAAAAAAAAAAATCTTATATATCCACGCTGGAAAGCAAACGCGTAGTAACCAGCAAAACCGAAATGGATATTTAGAGTGGAAAATCTTTATATTTTTCGAAAAAAAACTTATTTCCGTATAGATCGACTAGGGAACACCTTTTTGTTACCATGGACGTCTATAGGAATTATTTATACAAAAAAATTAATATTTTTATGTTCTGGAGAACAATTTTGTTTTTGAGGGTTACTACGTGATTCTACATGTCATTATAATAGATATATAAAAGATGTTTCCAAAGTGAAAACTCAATAATCACGCGTTTGAAAGTAGTATACCATTTTTTTTTCCGTTCTATACACGATTGTGATATTTTTTTTTTGTGAAAATATTATAATCGATAATTATAATAATCTACATAAATTATTGTATATATATTATAATTATATAATATATAACAGTTATAATTAATGTATTAAAGACATATGTTTCTGAAGTAAAAAAGTTTGAAAGTAGCATACTTTAAAATATTACAACACTTACATTGCTCGTGTTTTTAATGTTATATAGATAGATAACTGAAAAAAGACATATCCTTTACAAATCGTGTGTTAAAATAACAAGTAATTACATATGCGGATTTTATAAATGCCTTTGATTAAATTGACAATATTATATACACCAGAATTTTTAAAAAATGGTTTATTGTTTAATTAATTTGGTATGTGTCTTTTAGGTGCAGTTCAGAATCAAAAGACTCTATAATAAAAAGACACATTTACAGTACTTAATTTTGCTTTCAAGAGTGCCTCAAGGATCATTTTTGGGTCCCGAACTATTTTAAATCTTGCTTAATGACATTAAAATTTAAATGTATTCAAGTTAATGACCTTAGACTTTAAGCAGACAATCTAAAATTATTTAAAGAAGTAAAACACTACAAATGTACTTATTATACAATATTGTTATTAGAAATAGCAAGAATTTAAAGTTTAATACAGTTAAATTTTTATAGGCCACATTATCGACAAGATTCCGGAACTGCCCCTGGTTGTATCTGATAAAGTGCAGGAGATCAACAAGACCAAACAGGCAGTCATCTTCTTGAGACGCATCAAGGCCTGGTCTGATGTACTCAAGGTTAGTCATTGTATGTAAGATCTTTAGCTTATCATTGTCCCCACTGCTGGGGGACCGGCCTTCCCTATTCATGAATTCAAATAGTCAAAGGCCCAGTGCAGATTGGTGGGTGTAAACGATTGCAGATGCAACTGGTAACCCATCCTTTAATCGGCCCTTGAGAAAGTTGCTTTAGCTTCCTCATCACAGGCCTTCGTTATTAACATCAAGATAATTATGATATTGATTCCGCTGCTGAAGCACTTTCCCTATAGATATGGTAACTGTAACTATCCACATGGGCTCAGTGCGGATTGATGGGAGTTAATGACCCAAGATCGGTAACACGAGTCCTTCATTCTATACTCGCTGTAAACTTTCCTACTGTGAGTTTCTTATAAGGACTACATTAAAGTTTCATAATCAACAGTCGCTAGACTTAAGTCTATGCGATATAAATTATGGAAAACATATTATTTATTGATGTCTCAACTCGAATAATCAAATAGAGCGAATAGGCCTTAATTATCACACTGACCCATCTCATGATCGACCCTTTCGAAAGTTGCTTAACTTCCAAGAGAAGATTAATCCCATGATAGGTTTTGGAAAAATCTACATATACATTTACATTTTTTTTAATTAAACTAAACTACATTTTTCATTGAAATTCATTCAGTAGTCTCGGAGTTTATCAATCATCAATATACTTGACATGTGATTTTTATTTATCTATATGTACTAATATTGTAATGAAAAAAGATTTTATTGTTGTTTGTTTGCATTGAAAAACTTGCAAAACTACTAAACCGATTTAAAAAAAAATCTCTCACCAACCATAGAAAGATTCACACGCTGGTGATATAATTTATACTACTAATGAAATGTGACATTACAATTTAAATTAAGAGAAAAATTACCCTCACTTAAGAGCTAGTAGAAGTTAGCGTTCAGCTACAGCTACATTCAATTAAAGGTCTAGCTGTCCAATAGGCTAGTTGCCAACTTTTTTTTATTTCATAAATAAATAGTCCATTAACATCTGAGAAATAATGTCGAAGTAACAGCATGTCTTCGATTAATAGTTTCGGAGATACGGTGCTGTGTTTGTAGAACTGCTGCTAGTTGGCCGAAAACGCTCCCTACAAATTCAAGGCACTCAGTGACGTCACACGGTGCTACACTAGCGAAAAATATATGGGCGTCTGGACAATTTTTCTAATATCTTTGTTATTTGTGCGTTTATGTTTATAGCTATTATAATGAAAGTTGTAACATTTTTTATATCTAATTTAATGCCTTATGTATTTTAGCAAATGTTTGTAGTAGATTTTCTCTACTTTTTCAAGTTTTCAAAGCGTAATATTTTCCAAATCAGTGACTTAAAATTTGTTTTGTTAAATATTTATAAGTTAAAATGGTTCATATTTTTCGAAGATATAACAAAAACCTGTATTTTCACTTGTAGCACACAAGCCTATTGGTTGTCTGATTATACCACTTGGCTTTGACATAGATATTATTGGGGTTTTGATTATCAAGACCATATTTTTGTTTTTGATAATTATCTATAGTTTCTGGAATTTTTTTTTAAATACCGAAAGGTTTGAATAAATTTTTATCTTTGTTGTTTTCTATTATAAAAAATATACAAACAAAATTAACAGTGAAATTGCATTGATCAAAAAGTGAACTGAAAATATGAATAAATAAAATATTTGTTTTAGAGGTCCATCATAGACAATTTTGTCTATCAAAAGAACCATATCCTTTTAATAACAAAACCTAAAGTATAAAAAGAGGTTTCATTGTGTTTTATTATTATCAAGATCATTTATAAAGAACCAAAGATTTAGTTGTTTGTGCCTATCCTATCTTTAATTTTTTTTAATATATACATATCAGTATTTGTTTGGTCGTCTAGGTATACAAATCGCAACGTCTCCGCGCCGGCAAAGGCAAGATGCGTAACCGCAGACGTATCCAACGCAAGGGACCCCTCATCGTGTACCACAAGGACCAGGTCAGTGCACTACAGTTTACAAATAGAGGTGTAGACAGTAAAATAAATACATTGTTTTTTCTGATAGTGTCTGATATACTATTACAGATAATCACAATTTAAAGTTTATTATATTTATAATTATGAAAAATAGAACAAATATTTTTATATTTTTCATTGTCACATGATATTATATGAACGATATTGTTTTGAGGGACGTGACGTCATAACGACGCTATGAAAAGTTTTTAAAAAAATTTGAAACAAATTTATTTTTAGATATTAACTTGTTATATGAAGTATAGTTTAGATAATTTCATTTATATATATATATAAAATAAATGAATAATGTAATCTACAACTCTATTAACATTACACACCTTTGCAGTTTTCTATTTCTCTGGAAACTATATTGTTTTAATTATATCCACATTGTCACTAAAATACATATTTTTTTACTATTATTATTTATTATAATTCTTATTGTTTTCAAATGTAATTCAAATGTACTTCAAATGCATCTTATTTACCTTTCTTCTAATAGGTTATTTTACTAATTACGAGAAAAATATCTAAAATAATAAATAATACGACAATGTTACTTTTTATTCCTAAAATAGAGTAATTAATTTATAAAATTCAATTCAATATTTCAAGTTTTAGTCCGCGTTTTTTAAGCGGTTCAGTAGCCGCCATCATATGATGTCATATCATTGTGTAATTATTATTAAAATAATACTATATAAGACTGTTTTGTAAAGGAAGATCGTAGAAATTCAATAATGATAAATTCTTTGGTCGCCGACAAATTTTGATTTCATTTTTATTCCGCTTAATTAACAAAAAAAAGAAATTAAAAGCAACGTAAGTGACTAACTATGTCGACGCTGGAAAGCAAACACGTAGTAACCCGCAAAACCAAAATTGTTCTTTAGAGCAGAAAAACTTTAATTTTTTTCGATAAATAATTCCTATAAACGTCCATGGTAACAAATTAGGTGTTCCTTAGTCAATTTATACGAAAAGAAGATATTTTTTCTTGGAAAAATATAAAGATTTTCCATTCTAAATATCCAATTTGGTTTTGCTGGTTACTACGTGTTTGCTTTCCAGCGTCGATGTATAGAATAAAATGTACTTACAATAATATAAAAAATATTAACGCGCTTGTTTATGACACCAACTGACATTTTCGCGAAGTTTGAAAACGTTACAATTTCAATGTAATTTTATAAATGAGTAAAAAGCTTGGTATTTTTTTTCCATGGTTTATTAGGACCTTAGGATCGAATTGGGATACTTTTGAAGAGGTTGGGTAATACCCTATTATTGGGTAATATTTAAACACGCCTATAAGATAAGGCGAAGTGTAAGATTTTTTTTTTTTCTTCATATTTAGGGTCTGACCCGCGCCTTCCGTAACATTCCCGGCGTCGAAACCTTAAATGTGGATAAGCTGAACCTGTTGAAACTGGCCCCCGGTGGTCACGTCGGCAGATTCATCATATGGACCCAGGGTGCTTTCGATAGGCTCGGTAAGTAACAATAAACACACTTAAAACTTCGTTAGTTCTTCGTTCTTAAAACTAGTGCTTTCATTTTTGTATTAAAAAAAACGAAAGCACTAAAAAATCACCTCCACTAGATGGCGACTCTAGCAAAAGTTGATTTTTGCAGGAAACGAATGGACCAAAGACAGTCATTTCCGTTCCTTTTAACTAACATATTAAAGAACTGAATTTGCAAAATTCGAAACTTAGATATCAATACAAATAGAATATGAGTTGTTTATTGTGTTTCGAAAACTAATTTACTTTTAAACCTGAAAGAAAACCGGAAGGGTTGTCATGGAGAAATAAAGAACGTATTGTAGCGACATCTAGTTTGATTTCGGGAACTAATGTTATTTTTTAATACTTCCTCATTCCCAAAACGTCCAATTTGGACGAGTCTAAATTTTTATCAATTGTTTTTTAATGTATTATAGTTAAATACACCACTACCGTAAGCAGACCTCTGTTAGTACGGAAGTTCTATACTAAGCGAGGTCGGTAGAAAGACCACCATGTATAGCCTGACGTGCGGCCGTGTGTACAAGATTAAAATAAAAAAATATAATAACATGTATGCAAACACAATTTTATGTCATTCAAATAAAAAAAAGGTCCATTATGAAGAGCATTGGAAATTTCTAGAATTGGACATTTTGGGAAGTGGAAATATTGGGAACTGGACATATGAAATGAAAGGTCACTGTTGCCAGATGTCTTCCGCCATTATGATGTTTTTTTTTGTGTTAGCAGTTCTTATTGTTCAATGTTATTGTTCCTTCCAAACAGTGTTGACCTTGCTTATATAGTATTTTCGCCTATTTTCCACTTTGACGACACGTCAAATTACACAAAAAAGTCAAATAGCCCACTCGATTTTGACTCTTAATACATTGAAGGTGGAATTCGTAATCTGCTGCTGCTGTTTGTGCATATAAATCTGACCCTCAAATATAAATTTTGGGACCTCTTTAGAATGCAAACGTTCGGTCACCCATCCTATATACATCTCAAACGCGTTAGCCGCTGTGCCGCGGAGATTTATGGGAGGATAACGTTAAAACATTTATTTTTATTAGTCCCCTAATAAGCCTTACTCGTTTCGTTTCCATACGATCCAAAGTTACGTATGAGGGGGTATATAAATGTATGCCTTAGGAAACATTAGCTGACGATAACATCAGCTGGTGTGTCGACGTGAGGAGTACACGCATGTTTTTCAGAATGTCCCATTCCCTGAATGTACACTTGCCGAAGTAACTCGTTGTTGTTAAGCAACTTACTCAAAGGTCGCTTACGGGATGGGTGACCGAAAAATTACTTATCTGTTCTGTGCTTAGGAAGGCACGTTAGATCGTTGCTTCCGGCTGCTTTTGCAGTTGTTAATACCCTTCAATCCACATTGGGCCTGAGTCTAAGGTCATGGTTCATCCTCCTTAACTGTCCATAAGGAGGGCTTGAGCCCCTGCAGTAAGGAAGTAAAATTGCCTATGATGATACTTTTCTGAAATTTCTTAATCTCGCGATTGGTTATCTACTAATCAATTACAATAACGCAATTTACTAATCAAATAAATATTGGAGTAATATTTTTCTATTATCCGACTGTCGGACTAAATAGGATTTCCTTTTTTTTTTACTCGGTTATCATCTATACTAATAAAATAAAGCAACTTAATTGTTTGTTTCGATTGAATACTATCCGAAAGCACTGGACTGATTAAAAAAAATCTTTCATCCGTAGTAAGCTAGGACCATAGTTTATAATTTATCCGGACTATAGTAACGGTAAAACAGATACTTTATTTAAATCTATGTATTATAATCAGATGCCCTGTTCGGTTCATGGAAAACACCATCAAAGGAGAAGAAGAACTTCAACCTTCCCCAACCGAAGATGGCCAACACTGACCTCAGCCGCCTACTCAAGTCTGAAGAGATCCGTAAGGTGCTACGTGCTCCTAAGTAAGTTATCAGCTCAGCATATATTCCAGTCGTTTTGTTTGTCAGTTCCCTATAATTACCCCAGACATCTTATTACATCTTTTATCAAAACTAATATGCGATAGAATTCTCCAATCTTTAGAATATGTATGTTTTGAATCTTTGCCGAGGCATTGGTACAAGAATAATATACATCTAAGAATATTAATTAGCACAAATTTTCACATTTATCTCAAATTTAAATATATTTTTCTACTTATATGACTGAAGGACTAACACCCATTTTTACTAACCTAGAACAAGGCACAGCTTAAATAGGAAGCGCCTAATATTATACGCAAACGCCTAGCGCAAGGCGCCATATAACAAATATCATAACTTTAGACATTGCTTAATTTCGCTAGGTGGTTCCTAGTCAATGGTGAAAGGCACTTTTACCTTAGGCCTAAATATTTAGGCGACTCCTTATTGAAAACGGGTATTAATAGAATTTATCTTTTTTTAACTCCATACGTTCATTTCAAAAATGACTTAACCCATACAAATTTGACATTCATTAAGGGTATGTTCCGATATACACTGCGACCACTGAACAGTATGACGTCAATTTAGTATACTGGAAGCCCGTTCCTTTATAGCTAGTTATACTGGTGACTTTTTAAAACGGAACGCAGTCCAGTATACTGTTAATCCTATTTAATGGCGCCATTTTCAAATTTGTTAATGCAAGGTGAATATAAATATAAAGATTCCCTCTTTTCAAAAGAAAATATTATAAAATTGGAAAATTGTATAAAAAAATATTTATCAATTAAATCCATTTTATAATAAACGTAAGTATTTTATTTTATCTGTTTCGTCTGATCACGTGATCAAAAGCACTGCGAGCACCTTACCTCGAAATCTCCAGTGCTCACAGTACAAATATGGCGGCAATTTATGACGTCATAAATTTCCCTAGGGTACTGTAGCAGTGTACTGGCAGTCCATAACGGAACGGATTTTTCAGCAGTAAGACCACTGCGCAGTGCTCGCAGTGTATATCGGAACATACCCTAAAAGCTTAAAGGTGTTATTAAACCTTAAAAGACGTTTGTGCAACTGACCAATAATGAAATTAAATGAAAATATCTTTATACAAGTCTTATTACAAGCACTTTTGAATAATCAAAAAAATATATTTTTCCCCTACCACTTGTTCAGGACGTCTTTCAGCTGACAAGAAGAACAAGCGAAAGAAACTTACCAGCTCTTTATCATAAGTAATGACATTTACATAAATCATGTCATTACCAAAATAATATGTATTATCACAATAATAAATACAACTTTCAAAGTCTGTAGGACATAGGTTGTACATATAATTAGTCGTTATAGAACAAAGCGGAGGCTATCAATTCCATGCATTGCGATCCTTAAAATAATCATCAACTTTATAATAGCCTTTACTCATAAGTATGTTCTTTACATGAATTTGAAATTTATTTACGGGTATGTCAATTACATTTTGTGGATAATATTTCTTAAATTCATACAACTATATAGTACGAGGGTAATATTTCTAAGTGATGATATACTCTATCAGAGCATTGGGTGATGATACACATACAATGATTACCCATCACGTTGACACTTAACTGATTAAGTGTATTAATTTTAATTATAAATAAGATAAATTTTGTCTTTCTAATTTGTGTTGTATCCTTGTGGCAGCAAACGCGTGGTGCGTGCGACCAGAAAACTGAACCCGTTGACCAACTCTCGGGCGATGCTCCGCCTGAACCCGTACTCGGCTGTGCTGAGGAGGAAGGCCATGCTGGACCAGCAGAGGAAGAACAATCAGCGAGCGCTGGCACTCGCTGAGAAACGCGGCGTGAGTGTATAGATAAATAAATATTAGACATAATGTATATGTCGGCGCATCGATTGTACCACGCTTATTCGATTATGATTCCTAAAAGTGAATTATTATTCACTCCGGTGAAACGTTAGATTCGTTAGGTCGGCCATTGTGTGTGATTGTTTGATTAGAGGCGATAGGTAACACTGACTTACCTATCGCCTCTAATCAAACAATCACACACAATGGCCGACACTTAACACTTCGTTGGCGGGAGCGGGTTGCCGCCATTTTGGCACACATTCTGTTGCCGATCGCCGAGGAGTAAATACATCCGGCGACATCACGCTCATCTCGTTATATTTTCGTATGAAAAGGGATGAAATGGAACAAATCCACGTTGGTATACACGCCTGCAGTGTTATTTTGAAGATAGTCCCCCGATATGGACCATCTATTTGGGCTTCGTAATAGCCCGTTCGGACTACCCGCCGACATATATATAGTATGTAAAATATTGCTCAGATTCCAAGATTAGTAGCTAAAGCCCTCGTCTCATGGAGTATCTGAGACAATATGGAAAAGTTCGTTTTCTACATTCACCCGATTGAAAATCGAACCTGGGACAAACAGAGACGGCGACATTTTTAAGGCCGGCAGTAATCACTTACCATGAGATGATCCGTCTGTTCGTCTGCCCTATATCCCATAAAAAAAAAATACACCTTGAACTCTGCTACGGAGGTCGCCTATATCTGCCTCTAATTATAATAAATGTATGAGCCCTTGGTGAATGAGTACATTAAATTGATTTTCTTGATATGGAAGATGGAAAAAATCTACAATCGAGTAATTAAGTAATCGAGTAACTAGCAATTAAAATAAAAGAAACTAAATCAAACGATCTTCGTAATGATGATGCGACATATATAATGGCGTATTCACGGGAAATTGTGAAAATTAAAGTTTTTTTTTTTAGATTTCAACTTATTTTAATTGTACGTTTGTTTACATTGAACAGAATAGGCCCCCAAACTAATGAACTTATTTTTTTTTAATTATTTCACTTACAGTATGCTATATCATACTGGCTTACAAATGCCAAAGTCGCGGGAGAAAATTAAGTAGTAACACATATAATGATGATATCCTCTTATCAGAGCATTGGGTTATGAATCCACAGTGATTACTTTATCACGTTGACACATACTGAAGAAACGTAACGTTAAAATATATAATAATAAATATTATATTAGTATTGTAACATTATAAATGTGATTTCAGATCAAATTGCCCGAGAGTGATCCTGCTGTGACAGCTGAGAAGCTCCGCCTGAAGAGGAGGAAAGCGATCAAAGCGGCCTTAGCGAAGAAACCGAAGAAGCCGGCGCCCAAGAAGACCGCCCCGCCCCCGCCCAAGAAGAAGGCGGCCCCGAAAGAGGCGAAGAAACCCGCGAAAGTCGCTAAACCCGCAAAGTGATAACGCAATAAAGTTATATAAGATATAATTAGTGTTTCATTTTTAGTTTTAAAAGTTAACTTTCACCCAGTTGCAGACGGTCCGTTAATTTTAAAGTTTTTCATTAGTTTAAAGCAGTGATTCCCTAAGTGGTCCAGGTGGACCCCCAGGGGTTAACGGGGGTCTACGTTGGCGTGAAATAAAAATAGGGCGCCAATTTCCATCGTTAGATCTTCACATTTTGGACGAATTTTGGGAATATGGTAAAAATTTAGTAGCAGCGGGTCCACCGAAACCAGTAATTTTAAAAAAATGGTCTACGAGGATATATTGTTTGGGAAGCTCTGGTCTAAAGCGATATTGTCGTTACAAATTTTTAAATTTACGGTCAGTTGCACAAACTTCCGTGAAGGTTTAAGGACGCCTTTAAGGTCCAATTTGTATCTGTAATCGGTACGTTGTACAAACGTCCATTTGAATTGTCATTAGTTTAAAGTGGCATTACTCATACAAATTTGACGTTTATATCAGTAATATCGTTTTAAAGTATTGTCAATTTTATCATGGTCGTTAGAGTGAGGGGCAGTTTGTCATTTAAAAGGACTAGGACAAGCGACGCAGACTTACAAGGATTATTTCCTCTCCGGGACCTTTGCCCCAGAATTCGGTGCAAGAATGTCATTTGGAATAAGTTATTCGTATTTGTTTACCTTAAGTTTGTGACTAAACAACAATAATAGACAAATAATATGAAAAAAAAAAATTTATTACGCCTTTTTCCGCACCACAAGACGGCAGAGACCACATACATCTCATTCTTATTCTTGCTTATTATGGCTTATCTGCGCATTTCGCAACAATTCTGCCATTGTCAAGTAAATAAATTAATTTTCACAAACATCTAATACCTATCCACTAATTACTTGACATTGGCACAATAAGGAAGTATTTAAGAACAAAAAGAAAGCACTAAAAAGCACCCCAGTAAATGGCGACTCTACCAAAACTTAATTTTAGCAGGAAACTAATGGACCAAACATAGTAATTTCCGTTCCTTTTAACTAACATATTAAAAAACAGAAATTTGCAAAGCTCGAAACTTAGATATCAATACTATAAAATATGAGTTGTTTGTTGAGCTTTGAAAATTAATTTACTTTTATACGTGAAAGAAAACCAGAAGGGTTGTCATGGAGAAATCAAGTAAGTACCGTAGCAACCATTTAGTTTGATTTCGGTTACTGTTTCTTTTTTAAAATACTTCCTCATTGTGCGAATCGCGCTGATAAGCCATTAATAAAAGATGAAAAAGAAAGGCCATAGCCTTAGACCTACTGCTATCACGTTCCTTCACCACATATTTTTCATTTGTTAATGTGCATAATTTAGGTACCATGCTATAGTAGTGCTGAATACGGTGGTTATACACTACCTATTTAACATTAACTATCTACTCTATAAATGCTCTATTAATATTACAAATCTAGAGGTCATGAATTTGATTGAAATGCGTAACGCCTGCTAAATTCTGTAAATGTCAACTTTCGTCGTATTTGCTATAATTTTTATGTCAGGCACTACAAGTGTAACCTCCGTGAATAGTAGCATCTAGCCTAGGTCAACAATAAATATTTGAATTTAGATTTTTCAGTTGAATTTAGTTAATTTCTTTTTTGTTTTATTTTAATATCGTTTAAACTTCTGCACAGATCTTGATGAGCCTTTGTTGTTCGCTAAGTTCAAAACCAACTAACCTAACAAAAAAGAATCACTGCGATCCGATGTAATACCTCCTTATTAGAAGTCGTTTAAAAATGTCAAAGCCGTTAGAATTATTTTTGTTTAAAAATCACAATATGTCATTAATTTCAATTTAGTCTTTCAACTAAATTTCAATTTGATATGTAAAAAATATAGTAAATAATAATCTTACCAGTGGACGATCAACCTACACTGCGCCGCTCCGATCAGGGAAAAAAACGGACAAGTGCACAAGCTACTCATCCGAGTTTTTCATGTCATTCCGGACCGGAAAAAATCGCCCTTAGGGCGCTTGTGCACTACACTGAATTTTCAGATCCGGCGGTCCGATTTTTTCCGGTCCGGAATGACATGAAAAACCCGGATGGGTAGCTTGTGCACTTGTCCGTTTTTTTCCTGATCGGAGCGGCGCAGTGTAGGGCAGCTCTTTTTGAAGCTACACGTCACTTACGCTAGGTACGATGAGATTTTTGGAACGTCGGTAATTGCGTTCGAAGATGTAGAAAGATACCTAAATAATTACCTGATAATTTTTCATAAACCATAATAAATTATGGCAAGACGAAAGCATTTTTTTACTACTATCGGATGACTACTATCAGATGTAAAAACTTATACCTTTACTAATTTAGGAACAGCATTATTCACATACAATAGCTAAAAATATCTGTGACATTAGAATAAATTACTCATAATGGTCTAGTACTTGATGTTTAAATTTATAAACGTGCTATTTTTTTCGAATGTTTGAAAAATAACTTTAAACAATTACAGAGATAGACCAATCAGTGGCGCTATTTCGTAAACAAATCGAAATTAGTGCCGTGTAAGCGCAGAATTAATATGCTAAATGAACTTTACGAGATCAGTTGACTATATTAGTTGGGTATTCATCAGTTTGGTACCCTATTTATCAAACTCATATTGATAGAATAGAAGCTATTCAACGTAGATTCGTACGTGCCTTATGCTCAAAAAGTTGATTGAGTAGGAAACTGTCTCAATACTCTGAACGCCTTAGCTATTTCAATATGATCTCATTAGGGCAACGTAGACGGATGTACGATTTGCGCACTTTGCACAAAATAGCTAATGGGTTATCTGATAGTAGTCTGCTGGGAAAACTCTTTATTCGGGTGCCGACTCGGTCTCCGCGTTCGCAGCGATTGTTTTCAGTACCCCCTTCTAAAAATAATGTCTCACAAAATAACCCTCTTAACAGAATGTGTACTCATTACCACGAAATCTGTTCCAGTTGTGATATCTTTAATTGTAGTGTTCCCACATTTAATAAACTTTTATATGAGCTGGAACCGATTATGTAATTTAAAATTGATGTATTGTTTCGGTTAATGACAGTATTTAATCATAGTTACTAATTTGGTTGTTTTATGTTGTATTTAAAAAAAATATTAACTGTATTCTAAGTGTCACTTATTATTAGTTTATAGCAAATGTTGTGCACAATTGTCATTGGGCATAGATATACTTAAGTATTATTTTAATGTTAGATCTGCTATATGTTTGCTATTCTGTTGTCTGTAATTGTGTCTTAATAATAAAATAAAATAAAAATTATATATAGGCATAATTTTATACGCGTAGTGTAGTTTCTTTGAGCAGAAATATTTTTCCCTTAGAATACTTCCTTTTTTTTAATTTATTTATGAATCAAACAGTCATTTTAGATTTTATTAAATGCGAAAAAGACATTGAGTTCACTTAATGACTTCTGTTAAATCTTCTGAATATTCTTTATTATTACTTCTGTTGTCAAATATTTATCTATACTTATCAATTGTCTAAAAAAAATTTGATAATGACAAATTTCCAGGCAAACTTTCATCCCCTATTTTTCGCGATAAAATGTAGTCTATGTCTTTTCTTAAAGTTAAGTCTATTAACTATATTAATTTCCATTTAGATGGGTTCAGTTGTTTAGGCATCTAAGCGTAACAACACTTATTTGTCTTACCTTAAGCTATCGATACTTTTAATAGGATTCTAAAATCTAGCTAAGTATCGATACTAGAACCATACGCTGATCAAATAGAACTATACCGAGTTTGCCAAAGCATATGCAGTGATATATACCAACTATATTAAATCATCATATAAATATAACATTTATAATCAACAATAAATATCGATTATAAGTTTATTGGAAATTAACAATATTGCCGAAATAAATATCGATTCAAATCGATTATTTTTTCCCAAGCCTATTCCTTATGAATTTTCCGGATCGCGGAGACAGCAGTGCACAAGCGTAAACACGTTTTTCATTGCCGCCATCTCGGACCTGAAAAAACCGGTCCGGAATAGAGAAAAGTAAAATTCCGGACGGTAAAATTCCTGACAGTGCACAAGCGCGCATTACCTACATATGGCCTGACACATCGGACCTGAAAAAATCGGACCGCCGGACATGAAAATTCAGTGTAGTGCACAAGCGCCCTTAGTATGTACAATGAGGAAGTGTTAAAAAAAATAAGAAATCACTAAAAAAAGACCCTCTCTAGATGGCGACTTAGCAAAAGTTGAATTTTACAGGAAATCAATGGACAAAAGATAGTAATTCGAAACTTAGATATCAATACAAACACGACAAAGTACAAATAAAATATCAGTTGTTTATTGAGTTTTGAAAATGAATTTACTTTTATACATAAAACCGGAAAGCTTGTCATGGAGAGATCAAGAAAGTACCGTAGCGACATCTAGTTTGATTTCGGAAACTAATGTTTTTCTTTAATACTTCATATTCTTTGATCATATTCTTCGATCCTTCCTGGCGGTTTTTACACTCCAGTGTTTTTTAAAAGCGTTTTAAAGTTAATTTCAATTTATGCTTTTGTAATAATTACAATTTATTTGATGTAAAAGTTGTAAATAATAATCGATATCTAACGATATCGATGCGCTACGCCTGTTTTAGGGATGCTACGCCACGTGACGATACTAAAATACAGTTGTTCGAAACTGCTATTAAGCATTAGCAGGTTGTACACTATATGATAAATCTACACTATATAATAAATCAATTTTATGATACGAAGTGAAGTTATGCACAAAAGTAGCTTTTGTGTTTTTCAAACTTTCAAAATTTTCTCATTACAAGCTTTGTTATTTGAAATCATATGTATATATCGCAGCCATCTTGTTAAAATAATCGTTCAATTGGGTGGCTAGTCATCTAATTGAATGGCATCGTTCATTTGCACGCCTAGGTTTTTTAGTTGAATAATTATGAAATTTGTCATAATTAATTTAAAATGCCAAAACGTTAATATAGTTTTGTTGTCTATTAAACAAATAACCTAGAATATTAACCGTCGTCTTTAATTTCTAACCTGACTCTGAATCACGGTTTATCTTGGCTTTGTATAATTGTAATTGTACTTGTTAATTTATTATGAAAGTTTCATTCCCCATCCGGTCTGGCTGATTGTTCCCTTTCAGAGAGTCTACTGTATTCTCCATCCGATGAGCCGAGCTTCCCACAGCGTTAACGGCTAACGTCTCGATGTCACATTTCATGTAGGTGAAATGTGACGTCTGCGCCTGGGGGCGGCCTATGAATTGACAGATTTGGTTGGCTGATCTTCGATCAGCCATATTGTAGGACATTACTTTCAGCTACTCATAGCTGAACGCAAGCAAGTCGATGGCGTCATTTAATTAAAAGGCTAGCCACCCAATTGGCTGATTTTACCACTTGGTTACGACATAGCGAAAGTAAATGTTATGTTAAAAAAAAAATATTAATAAAACAACGAGTGTTTAATAGAAAAACATATCACGAATGTCACAGTGACATTACAGTCTAATATGATACAGTGACATTACAGATATATAGTTTATCATCTCCATCTTTCATTAATTTCATTTTCATTTTACATGTAAAAATAAATTTACTGACTTGACATTGGCAGAATTGTGCGAAATGCGCAGATAAGCCATTAATATAAAGAAGAAGAAGAAGTGACATTACAGTCTACCACGACACAGTGACACTACAGTTTAAAAAGTGACTGGAGTCACTTTCGTATCAAAATTCATAATGATTTTAAATGGAACATTAAGAACTGATATCAACATATTGTAGATAAATATTTTTGAATAATTTTAAAAAGTACAATTATGATTATCAAGTTTTTTCACAGACATCTAGACTTTATACTATAGTTTTCACTATTTATACAATACCTACTATTATATAACAATCGATTCCATTAATGAAATCGGTTTTTGAACGTATCTAACCTAACATATTTAACTACCCGACAAGTATTTGGTCAAATGTTTTGCTGTTTATTATAACCCGGATAACTTCAATAGTTCTGTCTTCGGAACTGTCAGTAGCGCTAGTATCGATAAGTCACCTAAAGTTTGTTCTATAGAGGTAGTCACGTGCTATTATTTTGACATTCTTTCAAGGTGTTTTTAATTTAATAGCGTATTTCAATTTTACGGGCGTTCTCGGTGTGGGCATCAAGCTACCTACTATACTTGTCCCTTTCGCTTTCATTCAGAATTTCTACGTCTACTTTGCAGTTCATTTTCGTTGAATGAAAGTCGTAATGTTATTTTCAGCTGTGAATTTAATTTGAAGTTTCAAGTTTGTGATGTAAATTATCACCTAATAAAATGCCCGCTAAAGGTACTAAACGATCAAGAAAGTCAAGACTGGTGCCGCGCGTTTGTGTTGATACCGAAGATGATGGATCGCAATCGCAAATGCAGGTAGGTCCACCATTTTGTGTTCAGTGAAACGGCGACGGTACCCTACTTTATAATTTCTGGCATTTGCCTTTGTTTATGTTTGTTTGACACACAATTACGTATCCCGTGTATCTACCTTCAATATTGTAGTTATTTCTTAATAATATGATATTTATTTTATTGGTAATCTACGTTAAAAGGATTGCGTTTAGATCCTACCCTACCGTACAACCTAATCAGTCGATTCATTTTCAATGTAAATTTTTAAATATTTCTTTAATATAAGACTTATTGATTGGCGTTACTAGACAATAATTACTTTATACGTCTATAAAGAAGTTAAGTTGAAAAATATAACAAAATTAAAATCAAATAAATGATAGTTATTCATAGGCTAACTTAATTTGTTGTCATTGATTGATTCTGTTTTGTTTTATGGATATAAATCTATAAACAGTAGGTTTTGTATATAAAATTAAGTATAAATAACTTGATTGACTAATAAAAAAGAAACATGTTCTATTACAACAATGCAGCTTAATGAAAATAAACATATTTAAATAATAAATAAGTAAAGGTCATTAATTATGTAACTTTATTTTGATAAAGGCTCCTTGGGGTACACCAGCGAATGTTTAAGGTTCTACATTTATATAGTATAGATTGTAGAGTAATCGTAATAATATTATAAATGTGAAAGTTTGTGAGGATGGGTGTAAAATGTATGTTTGTTAGTCTGTTATGAAAAAACTACTGGATTGATTTTAATGAAACTTGGTATACGGATAATTCTAAACCTGGCTACTATTTATTCCACTAAATGGTTCCCTAAGATTATGGCGAAGCCGCTGGCAGAAAGCTAGTATATAAATAAATAGATGCTATCAAAAGATTTTTTTGTATCCATAAATATAAGGTAGTGTAGTTGCTGTTTTATAGTTCCGTTTATTTATAGATAAACTGCATATCATGTAGCTTACTGTTGGTGAAAGAATGTTTAAAATTGGTTCAGTTGTTTCGGAGCCCATTCGATGCGAATTGCACACAATCAAATGTTTCCTCTTTATAATATTAGAACTTTATATATTATTGATACATAATGCTTGAAAAAATTTTCAGAAGACGTCTAAAAGTTCTGAAAACTCCAAGGATATTGTAGAAGCATCACCGCCTATCAAATTCAGTGTAAACATTGAAGTAGAAGAGTTTAGTGAAGATCCTATTGTTTGTGATAAAGTAGACGGAATAAGGATTGAAGATAATATTAACAATTCATTCTCGATAAAAAATCAGGAATCACAAAATATTGATGAGAAACAAGATGATGACGACAATACCCATGGTAATGACAACAATGCCCATGGTAGTGACAACAATACCCATGGTAATGACAACAATACCCATGGTAATGACGACAGTACGCATGGTAATGACGAGGGTACAGGTACGCATGGTAATGATGAGGGTACAGTTGCTAATGATGATAGTATACAAAGTGATGACGCTAACGATGTCATTATTAATAGCAATGATGATTCGCAAACGTCAACAGTTTCAACAAAAAATGCAACAGCAGAAAAAAAGCCAAAGAAGAAGAAGAATTTACTCAACAAAATATATAATATGTCACAGCACTCGGCAAAATTAGTGAAACAATGTAAGATAACGGACGAATATTTCTTCAAAGAATTGGATGAGTTATCAAAGAAGCAATTAGATAAAGCAGATAAAATACTGGCAATTGAAGCTAGAAATGCTTGGGGACGAATTGTTGTGTCTTTACATTCTTCTTCTTGGATAGACAGACAAATACAACATGTCATTGATGAGTGGAAGACTTGGGCTGTATCGTCGTTCGTGAGAGTTGAACCTCTCATGTTTAAATGTTACATTTGCGAAGAGGCTTGGTGGCATTTAGACGAGTTCAGGACGCATCTACTCAATAACCATGAGTGTGATGGAGTCAGTTGCTCTCTAGAAATAACCTGTCATGAGTCCAATCTCATAGCTTACATCGGTGAGGAACCTGAATTCCAAGAGTTCGTTATAGATACAGATTGTTGGAGATGCGGTTATGACTACGAGTTCCACAGGAGGAATAGTAAGCACTCCGATGTCTTATATCATTGTAAATATTGCCAGTCGAATTTCTTTACGTGCAAAACGCATGTTGAACATCTGAGCTCCTGCTTGGAATACAGGAAGATGATGAAGAAAAACAATATGTACAAAGACGTTATTGAGTTCTACCGTTGTTTCATATGTAAAATGGTTATGACATCAAAGACAGTTTTGCGTGATCACTACAAGAATTACCATGATGTCCGTTCAGATGTGCCGATGGCATTGTTTACTAAAGCTTGTTCGCTCTGTAGCAGTACGTACTTTGATAAGTCCTATCATAAGTGCCCGAAGAAAACTCAAACTCAGATTTGCCCCCACTGCCTTCAGAGATTCCCCTCGAAGATCATGAAGGATCTACATGAGCAGGCTATGGCAAAGAACTATGAGTGTCGGATATGTAGTGATATTTTGCCGAGTCAGTGCATGGAGATGATGCATATAGTGACTCACAGTGATAATTTTAAACTTTTGTACAAGTGTTTGACATGTGAGGAGAATATCTTTCTGTTAAATGAACTTTCTATGAAACAGCATGTTGTTATATGGCATAGGAAAAAATTTGACAAGAGGAGAAACTTAGTTGAAGTGGTGAGTTGATCGGCAATACTTTATATGCATGAAACTCAGGGTTTGGAGCGATAATTATAAGGCACTACATATTTTTTTTTGTAATTTGGTCCAAAAAATCTAAAAAAAATAAATATCTTGATAAAACTACTACAGGGCTGGCTTTAGGGGGTGGAGAGGGTGCATGAATTCAATTCATTTATTCCAGTCATGTGGTTATGCAAGATGTTCTAGACCACTGGTTCCCAAACTTATTTAATTATATGTAGAGTAGAATATTTTTTTATTTTTCACCACCTATAATTTCTTAATAAATTAATTATTGTGACATATATCAGCGGAGGTTAAACATTCATATACAAATAATAACTTGAACCCTGTCATGGCATAGCATACAATTGATATTTACTTATTATAATAACATATAAACCTTTTAATAGATTACAATAGGATAAAATAAATTTCAATTCACTATTACCTTTCTATGTTCTATATAAACTGTATTTTTGTTAAATAATAATAAGAAAAAAACGTCGAAAATTATGTAAAAAAATAAAATCACTATAAAATTGTCAGTAAAAAACTGAAAAATATATATTCTGAAATGAAAAGAAAAAAAACTCAAAATGTATTGATGCATTTTTAAGCAAAAATTGTATTGATTGTAAAATTGATCCAATATAATAGTGTTTCAACATGTTTATATTGTGAGTGGCTCGATGGCGTAGTGGATAAGCCCCGCGGCTCGCGATCGTTGTTGTTAAGCAACTTTCGTAAGGGTCGGTCACGAGATGGGTGACCAAAAAATATTACCTAGCTGCTCCGTGCTTCGAAGGCACGTTAAACCGTCGGTACCGGCTGCATTGGCAGCAGTCTATACCGTCCAATCCGCATTGGGTCAGCTTGGAGGGTCATGGCGCCGCCTTAACCATCCATAACGGAGGCCTGAGATCCTGCAGTGGTAACGTTTTATTAAAGTTATTTTCCAGTATAGCATTGCAAATGCAAAATTGACAAAATATAATAACATTTTTATTGTTTCTTTAATTTCAGGTGGTAGCGCCAGCTCAATGTGTTACATCAACAATGGTCGAGCAAATGGACATTGTGACGTCACTGTCAGGTGAGTTACAGTCTCTATAGTACAGTCCCACTGAAAGTTAATAATACTTAATAACAGCGGAGATTTACTACAAGATTAACAGACAGGACTCGTAATTATTAGATTATTGTATAATAGGGATGACGACAATTTCTTGTTTGTTTGTCCGTCAGGTAGAGTGTTAAAAAATATTAAATACGTATTTTTTTATTTTTTTCGTAATCATAAAATTACGGCGTTACATGGAGTTGAAATTTCGCATGACGTCACGTTATGGTACGTTTTCTACTCAACTGTGACGTAGCGAGCCCCCACTCCTCAACTTTAATGCCTGTTATCTAAGCTATTTCTTGTTAAATTAAAGTAAAAAAAAAGAACGTATCTAATATTTTTCTATTATCTGACTGACGGACTAAATAGAATTGCATTTTTTTTACCCAGTCATCATCCCTATTATGTGTAATTACTGGCAACAAGTTTTTAAAGACAGATAACATTTATAATTGAATCGACTATGAACATATATGACCTATTTAAACAGAAAATTAACTCGAATCACATTGAAAAAAGAAAATTATTTTTTATTTCAATTTTAGTAGATTCATCCTTGACAATTACTCTTTCAAAAAAACATATTTGATAGTTGTTTTAAGATGATTGTAACAAATCTTTTAGTACAAAAAGAGTAAGTGTAGTGTTTCATAATTATCAAAAAAAAATTCAAGGTATATTTATCATGATTCCCCTTTAGTAACAAATCTTTTAGTGCAAAAAGAGTTAGTGTAGTGTTTTATAATTATCAACAAAATATTAAGGTATATTTATCACACCGAACGCTGTTCACGAATGAATAAAATTTTATGAAAATCCATTGTCTGATTCTGATGTAATTTGTTTTCATTCGTAAGTTAACTACTGCTCTATTAAAAAACCGACCAAGTGCGAATCAGACGCGCGCACGAAGGGTTCCGTAGTGGAAATGAGCAAAAAAAATCACATCTATTCTATGGGAGACCCCTTAAATATTTATTATGTACTGGTTTTTAGTATTTGTTGTTATTGTGGCAATAGAAATACACTGTCTGTGTGAATTTCAATTGTCTCGACTATCACGGTTCATTTGATGCAGCCTCGTGACAGACAGACAGACAGTTGGTCATATAGGGCAAAGTTTGTCAAACGCAAACTCCATTCGACGATGGGATCCACGACAAGATTCACGTAACGGTTGCTTGACGTTAAAGGTTGAAATTGTCCTAAGTTACTTCTAAAACTGACTCGATTTGCGGCAAAAACAAAAACCCTGCAATAAATTTTTGCAACACAAAAATATTTTTTTTTACTAAAATTTATTGGTTTTCAAAGAGGTTCGCTGTTTTTAGACTCTTATTGGGGGTTTGTGGAGATAAAAGTTTGAGAATCACTGATATAGGTTTCATGGACGTTTTCATGTTCTAGTCTTACTATACTTAATATACTTATGCTAGAATTTCGGAAGTGAAGCAAATTTTATTATTGGAAGTGCTTAAATTATACGCCTCCGTAGCAGAGTTCAAGTTGTCGCAGGTTCGATTCCTGGGTCTGGGTTTTGTGTTAACATCATTGTCTCAGATACTCCATAATACGGGGGCTTTAGCTACTCATTTTGGAATCTGAGCAATGTATGTGATGTTGTATAATATTTATATTTATTATCTTCTGAACTTGACTACTTGCCCACAGGGAAATTCGAGATTGTAACCAAACCGAACATAAATGGAATTTTAGAAGTATCTGGCTTGAGAAACTTAGAAGAGTTGTATACCAAAAAGAAAGAAAATAAATCTATTGACGCTGATAAGTCAACGGTAAGCAAAGACGACAGTGACGTCGACGAACCTGACATAAAAATTATAGAAGATCCAAATTACGATATGAACTATGATGAAGCTACTGAAGATAACGTAAATGGTAATGAAAATGTAGATAAAGTTGTTGAAGATACAAATAAAGATATAGATAGTGATACTGTTGAAGGAAATGTAAATACAGATGATGTCGAAAATAACGTTTTTCCATTTATAATCCATAATGTAAGATCTGAGAGAGTTGAGGCGAATGTTGATGAAGCCAAGTGTGATGAAGCGGCTAGTGACGAAAACGTCGATAAAGGGTCATCATCAATTAAATTAGAAAAAGATGATGACATTGAAGAGTCAATTCAAGAAGTCAATTACATTATGGATAAAGTTATCAAACAAGAGCCCGGATTAGAGAATAGTAACGCTAATAGCGCTGAAACTGATGACTACGCAACTCTTTTGTCCAAAGTTTTCGGCGGTTCTCACTGTTTGACGGCCTCTACTTACGCAAATATAAAACAGGAGCCGTCAGACGACGATTTCTACGAAGACGACATTATTATTTGGAATGAAAAGGATCAAATTGTCGAAATGAATTCACCGGATAAACAGAGTCAAATCGCGGTGATACACGACGAACCGAAAACTATAGAAAGCGACACTGAGAAAACATCGCCCGTCAATTCTGTGGACACTGAGCCGAAGAACTTGAAAAGGAAAGTGAAATCAGTGGAATCGGAACCTTCCACTTCAAAGATGAAATTCTACAACAATAAAAAGAAGAAATGTAACAAGTGTGACGCCGTCGGATCCACATTTGAGAGCATAAAACACATCAGCCATTGCAGCGACCATTATAGCTGCACCAAATGTAACGTGGAATTCGATTCGATACAAGAATACGTTGAGCATTTCCCACGGCACGGTTACCCGGAGGATACATGTCCTGCATGTGATACGAGGATGACGAAAAAGATGAACTTCGCTGTTCATATACAATTGCATGTGAAACAGATGTTTTTGAAAGTCCAAATATTAGATAAGAAGGAGAAGGTTGCCAATATCGACTTATTGTATACGTGTAAGGAATGTAAAGAAATTGTGGAAATAGAACTATTGTTCATACATTGGGAGAAACATTTGGATATGTCTAATGTGTCGTTTGTGAAGACTGAGATAAGCGATGACATGCCAGAAAGTACATTGGATAGGAATTTGCTGTATGAACTTAAAGGTATGTATATTATTCCATAATAATCATTATATATTATCTTTTTATTAGTAGCGTTGATTAAAGGTCATAGATTTGACATGTCATGTGTATATAGTGGGTCATGGATTTGACATGTCATGTGAATATAGTGGGTCATGGATTTGACATGTCAAGTGAATATAGTGGGTCATGGATTTGACATGTCATGTGAATATAGTGGGTCATGGATTTGACATGTCATGTGAATATAGTGGGTTATAGATTTGATATGTCATGTGTGTCATGTGCTTCGGAAGGCACGTTAAGCCGTTGGTCCCGGATGCACTTGCAGTCGTTAATACCCTCCAATCCGCTTTGGGCCAGCGTGGAGGGTCATGGCCCATACTCCCTAGCCATCCATAAGGAAGGCCTGAGCCCCTGCAGTGGGGACGTAAAAGGGCTGATGATGATAACGTCAACCAAGAACATAGAAACATGGATTTGACTACTGGCAAAAAAAATCTCGCGCTTTTCAAACTACAGGTATTAAGCTAGTGACAGACGGTTAAGATGCTATAATATTTCATCTTAAGATATGACACACGGTTAAGATATGACACACATTGACATCTTAATATACTTATTTTGAAAATATTATATTATCTTAACCGTGTGTTGGATCATTGGATTGATATTTTATCTTAAGATATCATATTATATTATCTTCACCATCTGTTACTGGTTTATGGTGTTTGATCGGTACTTATTGATTACGCAGAAAATCTAAAGTAGATATGTCGTTTTTAAACTTTCTCTAGTAGCCTTAATTATTTTATACATGTTATACTTTAAATATAAACATAATTTTTACTGTTGGAATGGAAATGAAAACTTCCGAATGTTTTGATTTAAATTTCTTTTAAAATCACTTGCGCTTAAAAATACTTAAAAACATTGCAAAAAAAATTTCTTATAGAAAAATGACAAAATGTTTCCTCTCTCAGTGGTCAGTTAGTCCAGACCATAATTTAATTGTGAGAACGCACATTTATTTGTCTTGTATTTAATTTAAAACATTAAACTTATATTCTTAATGAAAAATGCTAAAAAAATCCACATTTTCCCAGGCATTTCGAATGAAAAATTGATAAATTTTAAACTTATGTCAAACTTTACTCGGACGCCAATACCCATATAAGAATTACGATATCAAAAACCGGTTCCAATATCCGGTTTTAGCTAATACCAGTTAAAGCCAAAACGGGGATCTCGTTATTGGCCGAGCATAATTTAATTCGTTAAGTATCGTCAGTTATATTTAGACGAAATTAAAGTAACAATAATAAATAAATAAATTGTTAATAGGTATGATTAATTAGGGTTAACGTTACATAACAAAATTTCGATATTAACAGATTATAATTATTCATATTATTCTGAACAATCAATTTAAAAAAAATGGTACCTATTTCTGTGATTGGCCCTTACGATACCCTTCAGCGTGGGGCTTCCAATCCCGCAATACCAAGATCATGGTATTAAGAGATCCCGCGCCTTTTACTAGTCCTGCGTGTTGCAGTGTAACGGAGGCCGGATCGTGCGGGAATCGCGGGCCTGCTAATAAACTTGAATTAAATATGGATTCATATAAGATGTTTTCCTGTGACTTCGCGTAAATTATGGCGTATGTGACCCGAATTTTCGTGATACAATTTATCTGTTTTTAATATTAATGTAAATAGATAAGCAAATGTATAAAAGACAGACGATTAGTATGAAAGCCGAAGAGATTTCGGCTTTCATACTAGTCGTCTGTCTTTGAAATACTCAGTTTTGATTATGTTATATCCCGAATTTGATCTCTAATTAACGGTGGATTTATTTTGTTATTTCTCATGCTATTTGTAAAACTTATATTAAAATGAAGTTACATTGTTTGATTCTTTGGATCCCGCCGAATACGAAATACCATGGGATTGTACATTCTCTATCACAACTACACATGTAGAGGGATCGTCAGCGGGATTGAGAGGCTCCATTCGCCGATCATAGTTCTCACGACCGACTTGATTGCAGCCAGACTGCTGACGAAGACTTCGTTCACCGGCAACGAGGGCAAAGTCTGTTGCGTATGCGACCGAGAATTCACTAGGAGGAACGACCTCAAACGGCATCTAATAGAGCACCTCTTGTCGGACGCGTTAAGCTGTTTCAATAAGCGCGACGGTCTCGTGTGCCAGTTGTGCGGCACCAAGATAGACAAGAGCGATCCGTTTAGGAGGCACCTCAGAGACCACGCCGCTCTGCCCGTTTACTCGTGTCGTATTTGTTCGAGATCGTTCAGCGATTCTAGCAACTTCGCCAAACACAGGAAGACGCACAATTTCAAAAACCTGAACGAGTGCAAGTTGTGCCACAAGAAATTTCACAGCGTACACAAATTGATGAAGCACGAGGCGGTGAGTGTTCCGGATTTGTAATAACGATTTCGATCTTAAACAAACAGTAGATAAAGTTTACTTTTCACATGAATTCAATAGTTGAAATTGTTTTGTGGGCGTTAAAATTAAATTGTATGATCTTGTTTATTCTGATTTGTTTAATTGCTTTCTCTATATTTATATTAAACGATTTGCTATTCATGTAGAATTGATACATTCGAAGTTGTGATCTCTAGCTCCTATTAATGAGATAGTTTAATCCACTCGCGTCGTTTGAGGTAGACTTCGAATACTAATGAAAACCTGTAACTTTTCTCACAGGGTCACGTCAATACGAAACCGATAAAATGTGAATCATGCGATAAAGTGTTCTACGAAGACTCGTCGTATCGCCGGCACGTGCGATATAGACATAACCAGAACGGCTGCCCTCGATTCTCTTGCCCTATATGCAGGACCAAGTTCAAAACGCTCCGGTTGAAATGGGACCACATGTGGTTGATACACAAGCAGAGGAAACAGCACGCCGACTGTCCGATATGTCACGAGTCGTTCAGAAAGTATCAAGACGTCCGAGTACACATAAGAGAAAAGCACAAAAGGAAAGCGACTTGGATGAACGTGAAGAATATGATGAAAATCGTGAAGCTGGAGTCTTCGGATGAAGATTCTGTTGTTGTAGTCGATCAGGATGATGAAAAAGATGAGATGTATGTGATTTTCGATGATTAAGATGATAGTTAGGAGATGTGTGTTCCTGAGAAAAATTACCAGTGAAGTGTTTGTACAGTTAGGAACTGCGTGACTGAAGAAGTGTATTATATAGAATCGGCGGTGTTACGTTTGTAGACTACGCCTATAATGAAGATATGAGACAGAGTTGACCTGAAAAGTAACGTCGTCATAGTAATGATACATGCCTGTACATGCTTTAACGTGTTGACAAAAATGCGTTAAGGTACTGACAGACATGCTCAAAAATCGACACAGGTTTGATTTTTGAGCATGCTTCATGAGTGCTACTTATGAGCATGCTTATTGTCACTTGCTTTTTGTAAAGTATTATCGAAGTTATGAGTGTTTATGGAACACAAGTTCGTAAGGATGCCTAAAATAAGCATTTGTGTACAGTGAAAGAGCATGTTTTCTAGCGATCAATTAGCATGCCACTAATGAGCATGTTTGTCAGTGCCTTTACGGACACTCCATGCTTTACGGAGGGATTTTGTGAATCAATTAAATTTCTATTTTATTTTATAGAACATAGTAAATCTTTAGTTAGGTTAGAATTATGATCAGAAATTTTCTAAGTGTTAAAATTGTATAATTTTAAATTCTATCGCAAATCTTTCAATTTGACATCGAAAGATATTCACGAACTTCACGCTACGATTATTTGACATGTGATAACTGTTGCGATCCCGATATCTTATTAAAATATTTTTTGAAGTGTTTTATGTTTCTTGATAATTCAAACTATCATTTGTTCCGAATGCGTTTACGAATTTAAACGATACATGATTCCATTAATATCTATCACAATTTCTATATCGCATGCCTCTATTAGTTGTATTTTATATAATAAATTATGTTCCAAATAAGAGTTATTTATGTTAATGGGATTTGGTCCACGGGTGGTGTACAAGGGATTCCCAAACTATTTGGTCGAGATACCCCATTTCATGAAGCGATAGTCAAATCAATTTAAAAGTCCCATTTCTAGTGTTTTCCTGTCCGCAAAAGATTTGTTTATTAAAAAAAATAGCTTTTGGTTAAGTGAGTACTCATCTAATATCAAGTATTAGTACGCGTAATACAACTCAATATTATATTGGAAATTGTCTACTTTTAAAGTCTTTGTTTATTTCGATTCTTTTGAAGATCCCTTGTTAAGCGATTTTATAAATTGTTAAAAGGAATTCTGACATTACTATGTAGACGTTATTGTATCATTCATTACGGCAAAAGAGATTTCGTGTGATTTCCCAAGTTATACATTATACTCGGAAATTAATGGCCATGTATTTTACTAGACAAGCAGAGCTGAAGAAAACATTCAGAATTTTCTTTAAAAAAAAAACAAGTTTTTGGCCGACCAGAGATATCTAGTATAGATAAACGAGCCAAAACTCGACAAGGCTTCGTCATATAATTACAAACTTCCTATAGTCATTTTCCAGTTAGAGATAATATACAGGGTAATATTAATATATGCCATGACTTCGTTGAGTGGATTAGTTGAGCATACTGAACAACTTTTACTATGGCAGTAACACTGAATTCTAGAAAAAATAATCAGCTGTTTCACACTGTTATTGTAGTTATAACAAATTTGTATGAAACAGCTGATTATTATTTCGTGAATTCAGTGTTGCTGCCATAGTAAAAGTTGTTCAGTATACTCAACTAATTTACCCACGAAGTCCTGGCATATATGGAGCTATAATATATGACTAACAGCCAATCGATTGAAACATGTATTATAGCCATATGCATCGAGTCAAGCACACTCTCTACTGACACATGTTAAGACATGTGGGCCATTTTGACCATTCTTTGTAACAAGTCTCACTAACTCGCTGCGTCGCGAGTTTTATATTAAATACTTATTACCTAGCTAATGTGATTTATAAAACGCTCTTATCTATACCTTGTGGCTCAAATGTGTAACCGCCATTTTCTCCAAAACAAATTTTAAATTTTAATTCGTTTTTATGCGCCATCGAATGCTATTTTTAAATATCTCAAATTCTGAACAATATTTTCTACAAAGCATGCTATATTCATCTAGATTTTGTAAATATTGCCGGCTGGATATTTAACGTTATTCTTCAGTGCAGCTGGTCTAGTAATATTCATAGAAGTATTTGAACAATACCAATTATTTAATAATTAATAATTAAAATAATTATTAATATATACTATATAAATATATATTAATTGTGTTTTTTATTACAAATTGTAAATATTAGTAGTTTACTTATTTGTTAGTTGTATGAATAAGTCGTTAAAATGTATGTGTATGGATGATTAATAATGTTGTTCTTCTATTTTTTAAGACTATGATTTTTTTTAAAGCCTTAGTAGTTACGCAGTGTATCTTGCACTGCGTATGTTTCTATTAGATGCTTGACCAATATTGGAATTGGCCAGTCAATATCCGTACTTGGCTAAAACCGGTAATGACCGGTAACCGGTTCACTAGTTGGGATCCCTTTATTGCCTGCACTAATATTATTTGTGAGCATTATATCGCGTATAATTGTTTTCATGATAATTTTAATGTGCATTCAAGTTATAATTTTTAATAAGACAACTTTTAATTGGGTTTAAGCGCAATGTATATGTTTTACATTTTAGACTTTTATGAATGATATTGCTCTTGGTAGTAACTGTATTTATAGAGGTATTTTATATATAGTCTCTAGGTTAGAAAGAGAGAAGATAGCACACTAACTGTCTCTCATTCGCTCACATGTAGTTGAAACAGAATGGAGGCACGGTAGTAGGATTTCATCAGGCGTAGGGTTGTTATATTCAGATAAAAATTCTGGATGCCATTAATGGAGTGACAGAATTACCTTATATGTATCATTAGCCCTGTTGTGTCCCCGCTCATGGGGCTTGGGCCTTACAGATGGTTAAGGAGGATGATCCATGATCATCCACGTTTGCCTGATACAGATTGGAGAGTATTACCTGCAGCAAATGCAGCCGGGACCAACGGTATAATGTGCCTTCCGCAGCATAGAGTAGCTCGAGGTAATATTTTTTTTCGGTCACCCATCCCGAGACCGACTCTTGGGAAAGTTGCTTAACAACAATGGATTTCTCTAGAATCTAGTGTTGAGTTCAGTTTATTAGACAGTACCGGACTTTAGCGTTATATATATATCATAGACCTAGAAATGTCACGACAGTACAATAAAAAAAAGGAAAAAATATCATTAATCAAAAGTTATTCTTTATAATGTTGCCTTATTTTAAAAATAACACTGTATATTTAATACCTCTATGGTCGTAAACTAAGCATTTTGTTTTACCTGAATTACTTTATGTATGTAATTATACTACGAAGTAAGAAAATAATGAAACATTATTTCGTATACTTTAATGTATTTTACAAATGTATTGTTTGTTTTATGTGAATTTTGTCATTTTTACATTATTTTATGAAATAAATTAGTTTTTACTTCAATCAATACTCTTTTGTTGGACTCACAAAATATTTAATCGTATCGATAATTCTTCTTCGACTTCCACATGATTTGTGTTAAGCTTATCGACTTAATATATCAGTTAACGATATAACATTACAAAGTAATATAAAGTACAGTAGAAGCTCCTTATTCGCCGAGGATACGATAGTTAAATATGCCGCGAATACAGAAAACCTCGAATATGGGATGGCATTTAGTATTCAATAATAAGAAATACGTTCAAAAGTTCCTAAGAAACCAATATGTATGTCAAAATAAATACAATTGAGGTAAGATTATTGAAGAAGTACCAATTAAAATCAATCTTTATTGTCAGCTTTAAATAAGAGTTTAAAAAAATTTTATTCATTATCTTTTTTTCCAGTTTTTAAAGATCTTTAATTTCAGATTCCTAATTGTAGCGTTCATAATGTAACTTTTTTAAAAGTATTTCATGAATGCTACAACGAAGTAAAAATTATAAGGCGTTGTAAAAGCCACTTGACACATGCCCGAAGTATGTAAAAGATGGCGGTGCGTCAATAAACGACACTGAATTCCTTTATGCTAGACTCGCATCCGCGAATACGCAGATTTTAGCCACGAATACAGATATTCGGTCACAAATTTTTCATCCGTGAATAAGGAGCTTAATTAATATTTATGCATGGAAAAGTTGTAATTAGTACACACATTTCAGTATTATGTTAATTACGGTAAATAAGTTTCACGTTTTGTATCTCTCTTTTTTAACTTATGGAGCGTGGGCCAACGGTGTAACTTGTTTGAAACGATCTATAGTTGAGATAAGTACTTAATTGAGAAAAATGTCATAACTTAGCAGATCGTTCAACGGATAGACGAGAATTTGAATGAAAAAAAAACTGTTGATATAATAGTATTCTAACTATTAACAGTTGTTTATTTATTAATAATATTTACTTATTAGCTCTCCGCCAGCGGCTCCGCCCACGTGGTCTTGTATTATATATAAAAACCTTCCTTTTGAATCACCCTATCTATGAAAAAACAACCGCATCAAAATCCGCTGCGTAGTTTTAAAGATTTAAGCATACATGCGGATATAGGGACTGAGAAAGCGACTTTGTTTTATACTATGTAGTGAAGTAATTACATTTACATATAATTACTATATAGATACGGGTGTAAGAAGGGCGATAAAATAAATTTTACGTAGCTTTCGCAAAGGCCGGTTATAGGATGGGTGACCAAAAATATATTTCGAGTTCTTGTGAGACGCGTGAAGCCATCGGTCCCGGCTGCTTCTGCAGTTCTTAATACCCACTAATCCGCATTAGATTAATGGGTCATGGCCTATTTGCCTGCATTTGACTCGGTTCCATCCAGGGAAGGTATGTGCCTCAACAGGGGGGGATATGGGGATATCAATAGGTGATGAAGATGACATAACTATCCAATCCCGCAGTCTCCAATCTCAGAATTAC